ATATAATGTTTGAGTTGTCAAAAGACTTTCATCTCTTTCTCTCTCTTTCTCTTTCACTTTTTTCTCTCACTTGATCACTTTTAGGGAGCTCTTTGGTTTTAGTGATATAGTTATAGGCTCAGTCATATCACTCCACTTTCCAAATCCTCCGAATACCAAGGGTTTATGCCTGGTGCTTTTCTTTGTCTCTGGTAATACCTCTTCGAAGAGGTGATGCCGGAATGCTGCCCAATTTTCTCTGGGTCGTCTCTGTACTTCCTTTGTCTTCTTCATTTTCTTCTTCTTTTTCTCGCCTCTAAACTAAGTTCTCATCAAGTTCTTATTCTTATTATTTTCTTTCTTCTCTCTCTTGCTTATTTCTCTTGTCACTCTACCCCTAAAACTAGAGCCATTAACCCCATAAAACACATCAAAGAGGAGTAAATTATATTTGGATTGCATTAGCAGTTTTTAAGTGAGAGTCCAGGTGATATGTTGAGTTTAGAGAGGGGCCGAATCCAAACTGCATTGCTGTACAGCCGGAGGGCATTCGTTCATTGATCTAAGAGGGGAATAGGCCAGGCCTATCTCACAAACTCAAATTGCGGTGAGGTAGGTGCTCGAGTCTTATCTCTTCATTGCTTTAAAATCATCTCGTAGTTGGACATACCTATCTGCACGTGACATACGAGTCGCACATACGCTCGTGAGGTCAACGCAGTTGTTCGAGAGAGGGTCAATCGAACCCGAGTCCCTGAGGTAGCCTAGGCGAGGTATATCTAGGCCCGACCAGATACTATTTGAAAGTGCGCTTTACTTTGATTCTTTAGAGCCTGGGCCTTAACAAACTGCACCCATTCTAAAATACCTCGCTTTTTTAACATGTTATTACTTTAAAAATGGATGAAATGTTTTACCAAATTTACGTTAAAAGCGTCTCGTATCTAATTTATGATTTATAATTTTCGAACAAAAAGAGTTTAGAGTGGGCCCATGTTTAGCCAGTTTTGGTAGTTTGATCGGTCAAATAAAATTGAATATTTTTAAAATATTTTAGATTTCAAATTTATTTTTATATTTTAAAATTATTATTTAATCTATTCAACTGGCGATTAGACCAATTCTGACTGGAATAGATTTCTCTTTGGTTTGAAATACTATTATAAATAGGGTGCAGTTTGTATAGAGCCTAGGCTCTAAACCATTAAATTAGAGCCAACCTTCAAATAGTGTCGAGAAATGTGGTTTTAATATTGAAAATCTAAGTGATAGCCTTAAAATATATTTTTATATTTTTTATAAAGTTTAAAGCTTCAAAAATAGTGTAGATCAACATTTCTATGACAACTTGAAAATCTTGAAAATTGACGGTTCAAAATGCGTTACAAAATACACTATTCCCAAAACTTGCGATCCATTTTTTTCTCATGTCCATAGATCTTGATGTCGAGATGATCAATTTGAAGATATTTGGGCATCAAAACAACCTCGGCTAGTAAAAGTTTTGAGCTAGGCTCAAATTTAATTGTTTAGAGCCTCGGCTCTATATAAACTTTTCCCTTACAAATATGATACAAATCCTAAATCTCTCTACTACACAAAGTTCGCCACGTTTTGGCCGCAATGTCTTCCTACACCAATACCACCCATATCATTATCACCTCATGTTGTGATGCTAGAGTTCAGTGCCTTCATCACCCTCTTATTTTTTTGGCACTACTTCTATTGCCAATTTTCCATGCTCCAACTTAAAATTAAGGTTTGATTGTTTTGTCATCATGATAAAGTTATGAATATATATGTAGCAGTTTTGAAAAAAGGACCGGTGGGGTGGATCGTCCACTTCCATTCTCGTTACAGATCGGCTGGAACGGCGATTAGGATCGTTGTTGAATCGTTTGGATCAGTGATCCCAAAAATTTAAAAATAAATACAATAAAATAGAAATTAAAATAGAGGTTTATTGGGTGGGCATTTAAGGTGGACCGCAAAACCATTAGATAAATTTAAAAAAAAGCAAAAAGGAAAAAAAAATATGGGCATGGCCCCAGCGAGTTTTTTCGTTAGCGTAACGTCAAAACCAGCAAACTACAGCTCGAAAGCAAGAAACAACGGTGCTAACGTGCATCCCTTATCTTGCTTTTCTTTGCACCTACATGCGCGCTAGTGCACTACTTCTTCGCAGCTAGCGCACACTACGTTTTCTTCGTAGTGCTAGCGCACTATGCTTTCTTCGTAGCTAGCTTGCACTACGTTTTCTTCGTACACACTACGTTTTCTTCGTAGCTAGTGCGCACTACATTTTCTTTGCAGCTAGCACGCACTGTAGTTTTTTTGCTGGTGCGTTTCATTATGAACTCAAAAGTGGAAGGCTGATTACTGAGGTCTTAAGATCCTATAAGTTCAGCCATTCCATTTGTGCTTGAAGCAAGTAGGCGACGCGAATCCATGGTTTCTATGTTTCAATCGGATACCAATTGCTTGGATGTGTTTGAAAGCCTCGAGATGAATTGACTCTTGCATAACTCATTCTTTCTAGTTGGGAAAGGTTTGTCTTGTGTCTCTAGGTCCATTTCTTGATGTGATGGGCGAACGACTGAGATTGAACTTGCGCGTGGTGGATTCACAATCTACTTGATCCATTTGGTTACATCTACCCCTACTCCTGCACAAGGTTTAGTCTCTATCTATGTTTATGGAATCGGTTCAAATCTGACAGATTTTGCATCAAGATCAGCGACCCGGATTAGCAATTGCCGGATTTCAAAACTTGATGATGAATATCACCGGTGCTTTCAAAAGATATCAAAATTGGGTCTTCAGGATTGGAAAGCATTCTTTCATATTCCAAAAGTGTGATCCACAAGCGCGGTAATTGAAAAAATCTTGTAAAAAAAAGAAAAGAATAGTTCTTGTAAAATCCTCACGGGTTTAGTACCCTGAAATTCATTTGCTTGTTAGGAATGCTAAATGATGTGAAACAGGGAAATGAAATGGGGGTGGCAATGGACCTGATTAGACCCGAGACCCGACGGATATACCCAACCTCGTGTTTGGGTATGGGTCAAAATCTTGGACCCGAATACTATTTGGGTCTGGGTCTAGGTCTAGGTTCAACCAGATCTGACCCGTACCCATAGTCATATGATGCTAATCATGCATCTTTAGGTTCACGTTACGTGTTCATATTGTCATTATATTGACAATATTTACAATATTATTGAAATAAAAAAAAAAAAACTCATAGTCATAAGGTATATGATGGTAAAAAAAAAGGGCCAAAAAAAACAGACCCAAGACCCAACAGGTAGACCCATGACCCAACAGGTTTGGTAGGGTTCCAAATTTTGGACCCGAATAGAGGGTCCAGCTGTACCTGACCCATTGCCATACCTGATCTTGTGGAAGAAAGGGCTTTTTTTTTTTCAAGTGGATGGGGCAGAGATTGTTTTCCGACTTACTCCTTTCTACCAATTCTACAACCGTTATGCTTATTTGGAAAGCAGTGAAAATATTATGTAATCTCCTTTTTTGGAAGAAAAAAAAAAAAGTTCTGTGGGCGTCCTGCCCGAATTCTCTTATTGGTAAGTAGGTGAAGAACGGCCCTCACCCTTGAGAAATGAAGCACATTAAACTACCTTATTTTCCACTCCTTAGTCGTTCAGACCTAAAACTCAGTCCAATGGATACAGGGAAAAGAATAATAAATTATAAAATAAAAGCGTAGAGAGGATATACCAATGCAGTCTAACCCAAAGACCGTTTCACAAGACTCAATAATAATTTATTTACTCAATTCTATATGTTTCAAAGATAGAGAACTTAACCTTTAGATACATATTAAAATAAATAATTATTCACAAATAACAAAACCGACAACACATTCTCTCTCTCTATCTTCATATCAAATTTCATGCAAATCTTCCTCTCACATTAATCTCTCTTCCCTTTCTAACCATCAAATCTAATCTCTAACCAGATCTTATCGTACCTTTTTCTGCTATCAAATTTCCTAAACTCAAGGATCATCTATCTAATTTCCAATATGCAAAGAAGATTAACCCATTAGAAAAACAAAAACTCACGCCAAAAGAAAAAGGAAAAAGTTTATATTAGGATGCAACCTTATAATGTAGAACTACGGATGCACCTCAAAAATCCATCGGAAAAGGTTGTTTTAATATTGAAAAACCCTTTGATTGATCATCTCAACATCGAGATATATGACCATAAAAAATAAAAAGAATTTAAGTCTCAGATTTTACAACATATTATCTACACCGTCCATTTTCAAGATTTTCATATGTTTATAGATCTACTTGACTTTAACTATTTTTTAAATTTAAAATTTTATAATTAGATATAAAAATAGATTTTGAGATAATCCTAAGAACACTTTACATCAAAATTATATACCATGATAAAATTTGAAGGTACACCTTACCTCTACATCTACGGACGCATCCGTATGCAAGCTACACCCAAAGAAAAAAAAAGGCCTAGCTCCTAAAAAGAAAAAATAAAAAAAACTCACAACAAGATAAAAATCCTTAAATCTAAAAATAAAATAAAAACCACTGCTTCACCATGGACATGAAAAAAACAAAAAAAAAATTCAAGTTTTAGAAGCAGTGCATCTTGTAATGCATTTTTGAACAATCAATTTTCAAGTTTTCATAGATATGCTCGATCTACACTATTTTTAAAGCTTTAAATTTTATAATTAAAGATGAAAATATATTTTAAGGCTATCACAAAGATTTCCAGTATTGAAACCACATTTCTCAACATTATTTGCAAGTAGGCTTTAATTTTATTGTTAAAGCCTCAGCTCCATACAAACTGCACCCTTTAAATATTGCCAAAAGCTTAAAGCCTAAAAACTTCCGGGAAGACTATAAAATCATATTTTAAATATCTCAGCGAATTGCTTTCTTGTAATGTATCTAGGCCAAGCTCTCAAGTAAGTGGTAAGAAACCAGCACGCAACAATTGCCGATAACCTTAGGTCAACAGACCCATGTAAGAATAATAAACAATGAATTACATGCTGCAAAGCAGCACCCAAATAAGGCAGAACTGCTTGTCAACAGCATTGGCATGGTCATTTATACACTTCCCCATTGCAAATGGAACTTCTGACCATGGTCCCTTCCATTGAACAGTATTATTTAATAAAAACAAAGAAAGAAGTACTAGCCATATGGGCAAAGGCAGCTCAAAGTAGGGCCATAAGCTATATTTGAACCAAATTGACCATATTCATGCACTATGACAACATACATTTTACATTTTCAAATCACCCCCTGAGCAATAAAGTCATATTTTATTTTGCTCAAGAGATCTAATTCTTCCATCACATAACAAATGATGTATTGGTTGGTTTCTTTTGATCAAGCCACACAAACTGGCACCACTATTATTCTAGATGGGATCCAATGATGGAGGAAAACAGACCAAGTTAATCCACCCCCCAACCTATTTGTTCAAAGTCGAAACCTCTTTATTGCAGACAGGACATACCTGCATGGATATCCAAGAACTTAGCAGACATGAGTTAAAATGCTCAAAAGAAGAGGAAGCTATGAATATACCTTGTTTATTTGAAACCAATTGTTTATGCACTCCAAATGGTATGCATGTTTACAGGGAAGGTTCACGAGTGCTTCTCCTTCTTCATAGTCCACTTGACATATCGCACACCTATCACACCATTTGCCTCTTAGAAAAGGTCCAAACACTGATAAAATGCACTTCATTATACTTACTGATCAAGATTGCCGTCATTGGCAGATGCAGGCCTAAAAACAATAGAAGGCAAGGATGATATGATATTGGAAGATAGGCCTTTACTTTGTGTTCCAACTACTTCACCTAGTGCAATCAACTCCTATATACAGATATCTCATCAGGAAATTTTAATATATTAATGCACCCGTTTTGGGGAATTTGTATTTGTCGATATTTAACAGTAAAACTTTTTACGGCTTGACACACCTCATAGGACAACTCATCTGGATCAACATCTTCAGATGTATCCTGTATATCAGAAATTTAGGCATGTCATCACTCCATCATCTGATAGAAGATTATTATTCTCTTGTACAAATAGACACAAAACTTTCAAAAGAAGAGGAACTCATCGCACATGAATATTAAAATTGTGCAAAGAGGCACTTTCATTTTTATAACAATTATGTGCACAGGGGCTCTTAAAAAATACCATCTCACCATAATCTTCAAATATGGAAAACATATTTACATGGAAACACAGAATAGCAAGTTGAGTATTGCTAGAACTCCGACCATTGAAACGCTGATTTATTAAAATTTTGTAGGAAAATGCCTCACAGAAAGCATAAAAAGAATGCCCAGATTCTGATTGATAATTACTTACTTGCCACTTTGGTACATAATTAATTACCTGCAACTTTTCTTGTATCATATATTCATATCATATGAATATGCATTACAAGTACACTATTTTTAACCCGTGATTTTTACAAAGGACCCTATTTATTGCAATAGCACACAAATTGTCAAATTAAATTTAGAGACCTCCAGTCAAAAACTGCAAAAATATAGAAAATCTAAGCAGAAAAGATGAACCAGACAATTGTCTCATATCCATTGCAGCATGTACACACAGAAATGTCAATGTAATCATGGGAATGTCATATGCAATGATACGAACAAGACAAGTAGGGCTCACCAATAAAGGACTAGTGGTAAGCAGTACGGATTGATGGCATTCTATGAAAGTGACAAGTAAATTCAAGTGTGGCACCCATTGATGACATTATCTAGTAGAACCTAGTTGGGACAAATATAAGGCTGCTCTTCTATAGTCTATATGTTGGCCGCAGTAGACCATAAGATTCAGTCTTGGGCAATACATGCTTGGTATGACCAAAAAAGATGCCATGGAATAGTATTTTAACCAGGAAGATGAAGAGATTGATATACATTCGTCAGGGATGTCAACAAGGGATTGTAGCAAATAAACCATTTGCACTAAAAATGAGATCCAAATCAGCTTATACAAAATGCACACATCAACTAATGAGCTATAGCCACTATATTGATCTGTATCTTATGGTTCATTACAAGCTTGTGGAAGGAGTTTAAAGTCATTTCACACAAGGTTTGGGAAAGCTGAAAAAAAAAAATTGAAATAAGATGGGAAGGGAGAAAGAAAAAAGAAAAAAAAAAACTTTCACGACACTTTGATCACATTTGAAAACTTTCCTTCTTTTTGAATAATAAGTATGAAAATTGGACTTTAGTGAAAATGTTAGTGGTAATTAAAATGAACAGATTAGTTTTTATTTGATTAAAAATTCAGGTCTTAAAATTTGTGGAAAAATCCAGATACACAATGGAAAAATCTAATCAGGCGTTAAAGAAAGAGGCCTAAACAGTCATTATGAAACTGCATTGAACAAGAAGAAATGAAAAGCAAGAAGTGAATCTAACCAATGGCTGTGCCAAGAATATGCTGGCACCCCAAAGAGACATGCAACAGAATTACATGTTCTAGCCTCTCAATTTGTGGATAATTATGGAGAGGTTAATGCCACAAACAGGGCTGAGAGAACCTGAAAGTAAAGCAGAAATGCAATGATAAGATCAACGAATGATGGTCTACTCAAGGCACAATAACAGATTAAGAATGGCAAAAAAGGGTTCCAAGTGTCCTAATTCTAGTGCTGCATCTGGCAGATAGAATAATCCCTTCACAAAAATTATGGAAGAGAAAAAACGAAAAAAAAATCACATTTCTACTAGCAGGCTAAAATAGAGGACGCTTCTATACATAAGTGGAAGATTTGGACACTAATTGTTCAAGGATAAAGATGATCTGTGGACAACAGGTAAAGTAATTCTATGTGGTGAGGGATAGATATGTGGACAGCTTCATTTGAAGCTGCCATTCAGGACCAGTTCAATGCCAAATCTAGACCTAATATCCACAAGCCAAAGCTTTTGTTCACTGCAATGGAATAGTAAGCTGGAAACAAAAGGAAAATTTTTAGGAGAACTACTTCATTTGTTACTCCGTAAAAGATCCTTACATTTAAGTTAATAGAGTGAGAGGCTGAGAAAGAAGAAATGCCAGCAAATTCTTAAGACGTTTGAAATTAAGCTCATTTTGTAATGGGCCAGTTTGAAATGCACTGCAAAATACATTTGGAAACCATTTTTGAGTTGAGGAGGACATGTGGTCAATGCTGAACCCACATGTTCTTTTGGAAATCCAGTGAAATGGCGAAACCCATTTATATATGGGCCATCACGTACTTTTTTTGTGTGAGATACTGGCATGAAGACCAAAAGTTTTTGTTAACATTTCACTTGTAGCCGATGGTTGCTGTGGAATACCCTATCACGAACAGGTGCACGTATATTCTACGTGGAAACTGGCCCGTAGTGCAAGAGTCATTGTTGTACTTCAAAAAGTGACACTCGTAGGTTTTTCCATGAATTGGCTTTTTTCGATATCTTGAGTCAATAATCCAAGAGAACGGAGAGAGTGAGGAAGATCTCACGCATAGAATTAGAGCTGAGTGGGTGAAATGGAGATGTGCATCTAGAGTGTTATCTGATTGCTGCATACTAATAAAACTGAAGGGGAAGTTCTATAACACAATTGTAAGACCAGTTATACTTTATGGGATAGAATGTTAGGTGGTCAAGAAACAACAAATCCATAAGATAATTGTAGCTGAGATGAGGATGTTGAGATGGAAGAGTGGCAAGACAAGAAAGGATAAAATCTAAAATGAATACATTCCAATGAATTTCGGTTTGGCTTCAATAGGTGTTAAGATGAGGAAAAGTAGACTTATGTGGGCTAGCCATGTAAATCGTAAACCTAATACAACACCGGTTAGGAGGTGGGATTTGGTTCAAGTGGAAGGCTCTAAAAGGATAAAGGGAAGGCCCATAAGAATATAGATAGAAGTAGTAAGAAAATATATGGTGGCATATGATCTTATTGAGGATATGGCCTTTTATAGAGCAGAATGGCAGAATAAGATTCATGTTCCCGACCCTAAATAGTTGGGATAAGGCTCAGATGATGATGATAATGGTTTTTTTCAAAAGAAGATCCATAACTCATGATGCCATAGCAATTAAGAAGGTCAAAGAAAGCATTGTATGTGGATTGCATGAACATTGGAGGCCATTACCTAAATTTATGAGTATAAAGTATGATTTTGAGCCATTATCCCTGCCTCAGCTGCACTCAAAGATGTCTGAAATTCATTTTAATACAGACTGGAGAAAGATGGAAGAATTTCCTTGCAGACCCACGCAAAAAACACGTGACCAGTATAGATTAGAAGGCCAACAACCTTAGCTACACGCTAGTAACAATACATAAACATGAATGAATCCCTAATTAGATATGGTGTATTGCACTGATAATTACCCAGTCAGCAGGGCTGGATGTTAATTAACTTAGTTCCGAATCAATATTTTGCAATAATCATAAAATCCATCGAGAAGAAAAGCTACAAAATTGGCAAATAATGAATTGCCTGTTTAATCAAAGAATAAATAGAGAATGGGGCGATTACCAAGATATATAATTTCATCATTTAAAAGGCTAATTATTATTTAACAGCCAAAAATAACAAACTACACCATATTGTTCCATAGACCAAGATTTCAGACATTTTGCAAACATCCCAAACCACCAGTGATAAAGCGAGGGGGGGGGGGGCGGGGGGGGGGAAGATCCAAAAGACAAAAATAACTTAATGCGCATTTAATGGTTTCCCAGCTCTACAAGTCAACAAAACCCCTTAATGGACCAGGCACCGGAAAGACTACATCACTTGAGTTCTTAAGATAAGGACAAGAAGAATCTTCTATTTTCTGTAGTTGTGTGAAGTAACTTGCAAACAAGAAAATCATGGACATTAGATAATCTTAAAGGATGATCATGCTCCTAATTCTTACATCATTCAGTATACAAGAACTCAATGAAATCCATGACATAATGTCATAATCTGCCTTGAGTATAGTACTTGAAGCAAAGTAATCATTGAGAGGAACACAATTTATCCATTTTTTCATTCAAGAACATGGGAAATAGCAAAGAGAAAACTGGAAACAATTTATATGATACTATAAAGAAGACCATGCCACTAATGAATCATTTCCCTAGCGCTTTAATCAGCTTCTATATATATATATATATATATAATGCATTGTTGAGCACAGAAATGGAGCAAAAAAAACTTTATTGTCAACCAGACCCACTCAACAGGACAACATGAAATGGTAATACTCAATGATAAAACCTGGTCGTTACGTATAATGTAATCATCACGGCATTTGTGGTTTAAAGAGTACCTCGTAGTTTGTGCTGAGTTCTTCCAAATTCTCAATTTCCCCTAAAGAACACCATTTAAAGATATTTTAGTGCATTTGAGCAAAGTGCAGCCATGTATATATGTGTGTGTGTTTATTGCATGTGTGTGTGTGAGAGAGAGAGGGAGAGAGATGTTATAATCATTCAGGAGGAAAACAACTCACAGTCATTAATGCCAGCAAGGGCTGACATACGATCAGCCATGTCATGAGCTTCATCTCTTTCTATATCCCTTTCATTTGTCTCACCATCAATCTGCTCCCTTCTCGCACTGATATGTGATTCAACATCAAATTCGTCATCATAATCATCATCTTCGGCATCACTATCTTCTTCCTCTTCTTCATAGTCTCCATCACCATAACTGGTACTTGTGGACAGTGAGTCTTCAGCCAACTCCCTGTCCCTCTTGAACATCATATATGCTCTTTCCTAAGATAAAACTAAAATTCAATTAGCATAATGATTGTAGGAATGTTGTAAAGCCCATCTCAATTTTCAATTTGATTTGCAATAAGAATAAATAAACCCTAAATTAAACATTCCTTACTCATTGTATACACACTGCAGTCATTCAAACTGATATCATTCTTTTCATTCTTTTTTATTTTAATATTGCTCCCTCATTTTTCATTCTTTTTTAATTTAACACTGCTCCTTAACCCATCGTAATAAATATCAATTGCCCATCCAAGGTCTAACAGTTTTCGTACTTCTTTTATAAACTGTAAAATTGTACACTCAATTTTCCCATGTAGTTACCAAGCATTTATCTTGTCTCGATTCTGCAGAAAACATATATTTGGCTCCTCTGTCATTACTATTATAAATGTCAATTTCAATTGCAGTGATTTTCCCACCCCGAGTTATCTTGAAGACCATCACATTTAGTCACAAGACACAGGTCCAATCACAACTTTTCAACAAATGCCACTTTTTAGTCACCATTGATCATCTCAAACAAACATTTCTCTTGCTCTAATTGCTTGCTCTAATTGATACCTATATAAGATGCATATGAAAATTTGCAATGAAACTGCACAATTACCTGCCTGAATAATCATCCAACCCCAAGGACCAAGTTTGGCTTGCCTATCTATGACAAGGTTAGTGTCCGTAGTTCATATATTTTTTAGATAAAATTGGGTCAATATAAAGCAACTTCGATAACTAGGCCGAGTCCCTTAGAACTCAGCCGAGTTGCTCAAACTCGGCCCCATGTAGAGCTAGTCCTCAGGTACAAATCCGAGTCAAACAAAAAAATTTTAAAAATATGAAATATTAATATTATGTTTTTTTGTAAAATCAACATACAAATATTGTATATATAATTTTGATTTTTTGATGATGATTTGTTAGTTTTTCTTGTTATATGCCCTATTTTTATATTTACCCTATTTTGAGGATTTTTCTTTCTAGCAGTAAATCATTTTTTTAAAAAGACATATTTGATATATATATATATATATATATATTTCAATTTTATTTGGAACTTTAATGTTATTTATAGCTTACTTCTTTTAACAATTTTTTTGAATTTTAAGTGCTTTTTTAGGCCTGTATACTAATGGGGCTAGTCCACTCAGACTTGCTCAAGTAACTCGGCTCGGTAACTCGGCTCGGCTTTGGCCCACGTCAAGCCAGAGTCCAGTTTTCAAACCTGGATGTAAAGAGAAAAAAGTGTTTCAAAACATAAGTAAGGAGTTTGTCATTGTTAAGAGAGAGATTGAAATTGTCTTTTAGTAATATTGTGTAGGGCATTATTTCATTTTTTACCCTCAAGGGTAATGTCCTCTACTGTATATATAAATGTGTATATATATATACACTCAATTGTAAATTGTGTGTGTGAAATGAATGAATATACAAGTATTCTTACTCTCTATCTAGGGTTTCTATCATGGTATCAAAGCCTTTGATCCTCTACTTCCCTCAACAGAGCTGTAATCTGTAAGTGCCTCATCTCTCTCTACGAAATTGTTCTTTCTTTCTCCAGATTCTCTGATTATCGATTTTCTATGTATTGTGCGCATTAGCATCAGAAGTCATTCGCCTCTCTTGGTTCTCTATCTTTGTCTAAAGTAGCAGCAAAGCTCACTCGCTCTTTCTCTCTCTCTCTGTGGCAACTTCATCAGTTGACAATATATGTTTTCTTTTTCTAGTTTGGCAGATTTGTCAAGGACCTCTCTCTCTAACAAGACCTCTCTCACTCCTAATATTAGTAAAGTGGTTACTTTCTTAAAGCTCTTGATTCTCTGTCTCTACCACAGTATTGAAGCTCCTTTTTCTCTACGCACTAGTCACTCTCCCTAACTTGCAGTGCACTCGGCTCTCTCTCCTCCTTACAATTGGATTGCTACAACTATCTATTGACCTTTGGTTGTTCTTAAGTATTTGTCCTTTCTTGGTTACACTCATGTGCTTTTGTCCTATTAAGCAGTAAGTAATAGTTGGGGATATAGTACAGTTGCTTTCTCTGCCTCCTCAAAGTGATAGTTCGGCACAGATTGTACCAAAGTTGTCTCTGTTTCCAAGTGATAGTTCGGCACACATAGTACCGAAGTAGTCCTAAAGCAGTCTCTAAAAGTTGTTTCAAGTACCAAAGTATTTTCGAAAATCATCTAAAACCAACTCCTTAGTTATGGCCCCACTGAATTTTCCAGCCTTTATATCCATTAGAGACAACTACCTCAAATGGAAGGCTCAAGTCTTGAATTGTATTGAAGGCTTAAATCTTGAAGGTCACCTTGATGGGTCTAGTCGGCCACCAAATGAATTTATTTCTAAGGAACCAAAAGAAAATCAAGGCATCAATCCAAAACCAACAAAGAACCCCAAATTTCTAGAATGGCGAATGAATAATAAACACTATTGAGTTGGTTACTTTCTACTCTCTCCGATGATTTGCTCACTGAAGTGATGTACCTGAAGACAGCTCAAGAGGTGTGGAGACGCTTATAATACATATCAAAGGGAAACATTTGCCAATGTTCTCCAACTTAAAATAAATTGATCAGTTTAAATAGGGGCAAAAGGGGCTCTCAAACGGTGACTGAATACCTGAACAAGTTCAAAACTATATACGACCATCTCGTTGCAATTGGTAGTCCAGTAAGCGATCAAGATATGATACTCTATACTCTCAAAGGTCTTGGTCTAGAGTTTAAGTCTTTTGAGACCTCCCAAGTGACCAAACCTCCATTTCCATCATTTTTAGAACTTCAATCCTCTCTCCTCACATATGATGCTCGGTTTGTATCTTCATCGATGGTTGAAAGTAATCCTCAAGCTTTGGTGAACGCACCATCAGTGCACAGAGAGGGATATGGTCGAGGACGTGGCCGTTATGGAGGTAGAAGAGGTAGAGGTCGTATCTAATATAAGCAAAGGTATTCTTGGAGCCAATCCATCTTACCATCAACCTCCTCAACCAAGAATGGGTATGCCACCTCGAGTAACTTGCCAGTATTGTGGGAGATATGGACACATTGCTAAAAACTGTTGGGACATTAAAACGCCTCATCTTCCTACGGTGTGCTAGTGCGTGATTTCAGCAATCTGTCGGCAACTCCCCCAACTGATCGGTCCTGGGTTATGGAATATGGTGCAACTGCTCATATAACAGATGAAAACTCTCAACTTCAAGGTATGATTCCTTACCACGGCCCTTGCATAGTATTTACTGGCGATGGTACTGCCTTACCTATAACCCATATTGGAACTATGTCTATTTCCACTACCTTTGGTCCTTTAAATATCCCTAATTTTTTACTTGTTGCCAACTAAAGAAACAACTTATATCTGTATCTCAATTTGCTAAGGATTTTAAATGTTGTTTTGAGTTTTCTCCTCATGGTTGTGTCATGAAGGATCTACAAAGTGGGAAGGTAATTGCTAAGGGGATGCTAAGAGAAGATTTGTATGTGCTTCAAAATGATCAACTCTACAGTCTTGCTACAAATATTTCCAAAGCTAGAGGAGGAGCTTTTATTTTGTCGCATGAGTGCCTAAGTCATCCTAGTTTCACTATTGTCAGTCATCGTGTACGAGAGTTATCTCTACCTAATTTTGTTGATGACCTATCTTCTGGTTCGTTCTTGTCAATTAGGAAAACAGTTCGAGTCTACACTTGACTCAACTAACAAAAAGTCTAATGGTGCACTGGATTTAATTCACAGTGATGTTTAGGGTCCAACCCCAGTTACTTCCTTATCTGGTTCTAGATTTTATGTTATTTTTGTGGATGATTATACTCAATATACTTACATATATTTCTTGAAGCAAAAATCTGATGTGTTTAATTGTTTTGTTAAGTTTCACACCTATGTTGAGCGTCAATTTGCTTGCAAACTTAAGGATTTTAGGTCTGATGGTGGAGGTGAATTCACCTCTCATGTTTTTAAAGAATATTTAAGTCTACATGGAATCCACCATCAATACTCATGTCCATACACACCAGCACAAAACGGTGTTGCGGAGCGCAAGCACCGTAATATTGTTGAGAGTAGTCTTTCCATGATGTATGCAAGTAGCCTACCCCAATTCCTTTGACCATAAGCCTTTTCCACTGTTGTGTATCTCATTAACAGGTTGCCAAGTTCTACATTATCTTTCATATCTCCCTTCCAAAAGCTTTTTTGTAATAAACCAGTTTACTCATTTCTTCATGTCCTTGGTTGTGTATGCTTCCCAAATATTCATTCTTCTCAAATAAATAAATTTTCATGAGTGTGGGTTTGTTGGCTACAATCTAGAACATAAAGGTTACCGATGTTATGACAAAGTGTCAAGATGCTTTTTTATCACAAGACACGTAACATTTGAGGAAACTAGGTTCTACTTTAAAAGCCAGTGTTCCTCAACCAACACAAGTAATGACATGCCAAACAATGTGTCTGTACCTATTTCACTACCTTTTCAATTGCAGGAAAAAGTACACTCGCAAGCTCCTATCTCCTTTGAGGTTACAGATGAACTATCTCAACAGCATCACCCTCATCAGTCATCTCCTCACTCTGACAAGCTTGATCCGCAACCTATTTCCTCGGCAGACATTTCACCACCACCTTCTCTCTCTCCTACTTTAAACTTAGACGCATCTCCCACAATGCCACATGATTTATCTGACAAACCCTTAGAAGTTTCATAGATACCCCCACGTCGTACCTCTCGCTCAACACAACCCCCTAAGCATCTATTAGACTACCAAGTTTACTCTGCAACCTCTCCTGACACTATCTCTAAACCCATAACAACAAAATAACCTATTGAAAATTTTACCTTAGAGAGCCTGCCTCCCAATCATCAAACATTTGCGACACAAGTTTTTTATTCTATACTTCCTCTAGTTCACCTGACCTCAAAGCATACTCTGATGCTGATTAGGCAGGGTGTCCTAATAATCGTCGGTCCATTACAGGTTTTTGTATCTTTTTAGGAAAAAGTCTAATTTGCTGGAGTAGCGAAGAGCAGGCCTCAATATCAAAATACAGCACAGAGTCAGAACATATAGCAATGAGAAAAAAAAAAAGTATTGTTGCAGCTGAAATTATTTGGCTACATATGCTCCTCAAGGAAATTCGTGTCTCCACAATTAAACCAATCATTCTAGCTAGTGATGATCAAAATGCTATGCGACTAGCCACCAATCCTATCTTCCATGCTCGCACTAAACACATATTAGTTGATTATCACTTCATTAGAGACAAGGTTGTTTCTAGTGCTATTTCCATGGCCTTTGTCCCTTCAGCCCATCAGCTGGCAGACATGTTTATTAAACCCCTGACAAGGCCCAGACACCACGAGTCCATAGACAAGCTCTCAATGCACAAGATGCATGCTCGGCTTGATGGGGTGTTAAGATAGAGATTGAAATTGTCTT